TTTTTTTTTTGGTGGAACCAGGGATTGAACTCAGGCCCTTGCGCTTGCCAGGGAAGTGCTTATTCCACTGAGCCATCTCCCCGGCCCCCAGTGCTGTATTTTGACTGTTACTTTTTCAGTACTTCAAGATACTGCGCAGCTAGTCTAGTTGCCAGAAGTATGTTGTCAGTCTGTCCAGCTCTTTTGTACTGATATATTAACTCTGGCTTCTTTTAGCACTGTACTTTCTTTAAGCTTTTGATTTTGTTTCTCAGTACTAGCTATTGAACTCAAGGTCTTCACATTGAACTATATTCCCAGCACATGCTTCCTCATTTTAAAAACATGTGGCTACAGAACCTCACTAAGTTGCCCAAGTGGGGCTCCAATGTGCCATCCTTGTGCCTCAGCATCCAGGGCACTGGGGTCACAAATGTGCACCACTGCGCCTGCCCCTATCTTTGGTATCATAGGTTCTGTCTTGCTTACTTTTTGTTGTTGTTGAGACAAAATACCTGCTATCCAAAGTTAAGGAGGGAAAAGGTTTATTTAGTGCACAATTTGTGGAGGTTTTAGCTAGCAGTCAGCTGGCTCCAAGACAGGAAGGCATATGCCAGAAGGGCAATGTTTAAGGCGGCAGAAGACAGAAGAGCAGCAAGAGCACAAGGGGGAGAAGCAAGCAGCTTTCCCCCCCTTATATTGTATGTGGGCTACCCCCGCCCCAGGGGAGGTGTGGCACTGGCGCAGTCTCCGTGCTCTGCTCTTGCACAGGCCCAGGATGAATCCAAAGTAAGGCCCAGGCCCCCTGCAGAGTCATTTAGTTATTCACTTTTAAACTTCTTAAGTTGGCACAATGAACAGCATCCTAGAGCTCCCCGGGCAAGTCTTTTTCACCGTGAGATGTAGAACTGCTGAGTTATTTAGCTAAGCTTTTAGAGCCCTCATGTTGACATAGTGTGTCAACCATAACAATCCACCCCTTGACAACTTAACAACCAGACACACTTTCCAGGCATAATGACATTATTATTATTTTCCAATTTGAACATTATAACACAAGTCTAACAGTCTTTAAGAGCCAGTAGTAAGTCTATTAATGTTACATTAGAACCATAACATTTTGCCTCTGGCCCTCCAGAGACTTATGACCATCCTTTATATAAAAGACATTTATTTAGTCCATCTGCAAGCGTTGCCAGAGTCTTAACAGCATTTGTGAAAACTGCTAAGTCCCAAGTCTCCTCAAAGGTGTAAGGCAAACTCAGCTGTAAGCTCCCATACAAATGAGAAGTTAACCACTTCCAACATTAGATGGAAGTGCTTAACATTGGTAAGTAATGTTAAGTACTTTAACATTTTAAGTACTTTCATGGAAGTAATCATTTTCATTTCAAAGGTATAAATAGGGTAATACAAAAGAATGGGACCAAAGCAAGTCCAAAATCCAGCAGGGTAAACATTAAGTCCTGTAGTGTAATGTCCAGCACCTGAAGCAATTTGTCCCGTATTATGAGCTCTTAAAGGGCTTGTGGCTCTACCCTGTCGTGCTTTTGGTTCCTGTGGCTCTCATGGCATTTTGTTGGGCCTGCTTTTTCCCTCCTTGTAGCTTTTCTGAGACACTGCATTTTTTGACTTTTTGAAACTTTTGGGATCTCTACTACATTTTTGGCTTTTTACTCACAGCTTTACATACTGTCTTCTCAAGGGCACACTGCTTGGCCTCCCAGGCCTTTTGAACCCCCTTTAAAAAAAAATATGTATTTGGTACAGGGTCTCACTATGCAGCTTGGACTCATAATGATCATCCTGTTTTCAGCTTCCCCAGCACTGGCATTACAGGTGTGTGCCACAATGCCTGGACTTGGTGGCCAGCTCAGTGCATCTGGGGTTGGGGCCAGCATGGCATGTGGCACTAGGGATTGAACTTCAGTCCCTGCACTTGCCAAATCAGGTACTTAGTCCACTGAGCTATCTTGCCGGCCCTTTCCAGGTCTTTTGAAATCAAGTTGGAAACCTTTTAAACCTCAAAACTTGCATTTTCTATGCACCTAAAACCAGTGCACTTGGGTTATTCCACCTGCTGCCAGCTGGAGCAGTAGCCAGACTTTCATCTCAGCTGTACAGGGCAAGTGCTTGGATTGCTGGGCATTCTGAATCCAATTTGGAGGAACAAATTTTTTATGTTGCCACTGCTATGGAGCCTGGGGCAGCCATCACCCTTCTGGCACGTGGCACTCTGTGGCTTTTAAAATTTTTTATTTTAAAGAGGAAAAAACCAAAGGGCAACAAAAGTTGTTACATTACATATTGTTATCATCAAATTTGTTGCTCAGATTACCAGATATAGTCATGCAATCTTAAAGCAAAGACTTTTGCAGTTCTGAGGACTTGCTCCTTTTTAATGCTCTCAGGCCATCTTTTTGATTTTTTTTTTCCCCATCAATCTTTTTTTGGGGGGGCAGAACCGGTGATTGAACTCAGAACCCTGTGCTTGCCAAGGAAGCACTTATTCCACTGAGCCATCTCCCCGGCCCCCTATCATTTTCTTCTCCCCATCAATCAATTTTTTTTCCCCCCGGACCTGGTAGCTGGCTCAGTGTAGCTGGGGGTGGGGCCAGCATGGCACATGGTGCCAGGGATCAAACTGCGGCCTCTGTGCTTGCCTAAGAAGGCACTTAGTCCACTGAGCTATCTCTCCAGCTCTTTGCAGTCTGCAGCTTTACTGGAGTTTCCTTTTTGGCTGAACTCACAATACTTTTAAGTTATTTTGCTGAATTCTTTGTTTTTGGTTTTTAACATAATTCTAGCTAAAAGCCCCCTTCCCCATCAATAGCCATGTCTCCACCTCAACATTTGACTGTCTTGAAATTTTAAAAAAAATATTTAATTAATTCATTTATTTGGTACAGGGTCTCATTATGTAGCTCAGACTTGTAGTTATCCTCCGGTCTCAGCCTCCCTGGTGCTGGGATTACAGGGTGCACAATGTAACCCAGTTTCAGGGCCAGTATGGTGCACCTGGGCTTCTGGGGCTGGCATAGCATGTAGTACTACGGACTGAACCTGGGTCCTTGTGCTTGTCAGGCAGGCACTTCGACTGCTAAGCTATCTCCCAAGTCCTCTTGAAATTTTTTTTTTTCTGTTAGATTAATTAGTTCACCACCCTTAATCTTAGTCTCAGGTCAAGTCTCTGCATATGAGCAAAATACAGACAACCTTTGTGCCAAGCCATAACACACATCATCTGGAGCCCAGCGCCCAATGTAGTCCTTTTTCCCAGCAGGCCTTCTCCCAAGCCTGGTCTTTACTGGTAGGATTTTTATCAGCATTTTGGTCTTTTGAGCTCTGACCAGAATCTCTTGTACATACAGAACAACCAAAGGCATTTTAGCACTTTTTTTTTTTTTTTGTGAACTTTCCAAACCTTTTTAAACGCTTTGCACAAGCCATTTCCAAAGGCTCTTGAATCACATGTTCAGGTACAGTCATAAGAACAACCCCATTCTCAGTACCAAATTTTTTCTTGGTTACTTTTTGCTCATTACTGAAGCAAAATGCCTGCAACCCAAAGTTAAGGAAGGAAAGTTTTATTTAGGTCACAGCTTGTGGAAGTTTTAGTCAACAGTCAACTGGCTGCAAGGCAGGGTGGCACGGCACAGGGGCAGCACTGTAAGGGAGCAGAAGACAGCAAAAGCTGCGAGAGCAAAAGTGGGGAAAGCAAGGAAGCCCTCTTGCCTCCTTACATTGTATGTGAGACTGTGTCCCTCACTGGAGTGACATACTTCCAGTCCTGAGAGTTGCACTTGGAATACATTTTGCTGCCTGTTGAGGAGGTAATAGAAGCTTCCCAGTGTGGCTGATGTGGCACAGGAGAGAAAACTCCTTCCTCCCCATGGCCTGACCGCCAGCTCTGGCCCACCACCTGGGGAGCACAGGCCCCAGTTACTGTGGTCCAGATGGCAGTGTGCCATGTCAGGCTGGCATTCTATTGGCCATAACTGATGGAATAATCAGCCAGGAGCAGGCCCAAAATGGGAGCTAAAGAGTCTCTTTTGTCCTTTCAGAGCCTATTAATTTGGAGAGCTGGCGAGATCTGAAGCCAAATTCTAGAAGACAAGAGCTATAAAACTGTACCTGTAATACCTGGACTGCAAGTAGGTGGAACACACAGCCTTGGACACATGACTGACTGAGCCGAAGTCAATGACTTTTACTCTGTACGGTTGTCTGGATGGATCCACCAGCATGATGTTCTCTGGTTTGAGGTCTGCATGGATAAGACCCAAGCTTTTGAGTTGCATCAGGGCTGTGGCTACCTGCTGGAGGACTGGGCGAATGTACTTGAGGGGCAAGGGGCTGAACTTGTTCTGCTTGAGAAAGTCATAGAGGTTCTGCTCCAACATCTCAAAGACCAAGCACGTGTGGTTCTTGTGCTGGAAGCACTCATAGGCCCGCACGAAGTTGTAGTCATCAGCACTCTCTGTGCTCAGCCGGGCCAGGATGCTCACTTCTATCTGACCCTGCCGGGCATACGAAGGATGATTCTTCAGGATCTTGATGGCCACAATTTCATTGGTGCCCCGTTTCCAGCACTTGACCACTTGCCCAAACGTTCCTCGGCCCAAGAACTCCAGAGCCTCATAGGTGTTGGTCATGGAGCACAGCACTTCATGCTGCACCAGCTGATAATCACCTTCACTGTTGGAGCCACTGTTTTTGGAAGTGGCAGTGGATGTAGTGGCGGTGGCTACAGTGGCCCTGCTGGCATTATTCTGAATCATGAGTGGGTGCTCTTCAGTGATCTGTATGCTGCTTGTGTTCTTGATCTCCTCACTCTTACGCTTGAGTCCACATTTTTGGTAGGTATCAAGGAGGCTCACAGTGCTGCGATGCATTCGGTTACGTGGTCCTCCGAGGACTTGCCCAGTGATGAAGTGCTACTTGCTGATGTTACGACTGTGTGCCCGGTGCTTCCTGGGAAGATGATGGTCTGTTCGTAAGGTAGGCTTGGGTTTGGGATTGGCAAAGAGGTGCTGACAATTGTGGTGGCCGGCTGCGAAGGTGGGATGCTCTTGCTCTGGCTGCACGCTTTGCTGTGGGAGCCGTACCCAGTCAAGTCCCAGTGGGAACTCGGCTCGACTTTCAGTTTCTTCACACTACAGAAGGCACTTGACTGAAGGGTGTGAGGGGAGAAAACTTGCACAGGTAAGTAATACCTCCGCACGCACGGGCCATCGGGGCAGGGGTGTCCTTGAGCCTGTGTGTGTCACCGTGGCCGTGGCCATGACCACTGTGGACCGGGCCCTGCCCATTCTGTGGACTATCTCTGCACTCTGTTGGTGCTTTCTTTTGCTGTGCAAAAACTTTTAGTATCATGTGATTCTTTGTAATATTTCTATGTGATCAGGGTTTTCTTTATTATATCTTTGCCTACACCAGTGTCTTCAAGAGTTTTATCTATATCTTCTAGAACATTGTTTCTGCTTTAAATTTAGATATTTGATCCATTTCAATTTTAGTTTTTAGTGCATGGTGAGAGATATAGGCCTAGATTTGATCTTTATCACATGGAAAGCCAGTTTTTCCAGCACTACTTCTTAAAAAGACTATTTTTTTGGTCCAGTGAAGTTATTTGGCACCTTAAGATAAAGTAATTGAATGTGATTGGAGTTGTTTCTGCATTTCTTATCCTATTCCACTGATCCTCACATTGTTTTTTTTTTTTGTTTTGTTTTATATCTTGGTATTTCCCATTACCATGCTGTTTTTATCAGGGTAGCTTTGTAGTATAATTTCAAGCCAGGGATTGTAATATCACTTGCCTTATCTTCTTGCTTATAATTGCTTTTGCTATTTTAGGTCTCCTCTGGTTCCAAGTGAATTTCAGAATTGTCTTCTCTATTTCCGGTGGGGTATACTATTTGTATTTTGACCAGGATTGAATTAAACCTGTGTAACAGTTTTGGAAGTATGGCCAATTTCACAATATTGGTTTTGCCTGTCCAAGAACAGAGGATATCTTTCCATTTTCTGATAGCCTCTTTGATCTCTAGTTGAGCTGTGTATTTGTGACAGTGATAATGAGCCTCCTAATACAATTGTGTTAATGCTTATCTGAATTTTCATTTCCCTTAATATTTGCTTTATATACTCAGTATGCTATTATTTGGTGCATGTATATTTATGGTTTTTGTCTCTTTCTGTTGGATTATGTGCTTAACAAGTATGTAGTGACCTTCTTTGTCTCTTCTGATCAGTCTTGGTTGGAAATCCAGTTTGGCTACAAATAGAATGATGATGCATATTTTTCTCCAGATTCTGGTTGCATGGAATACTGTTTTCTATACTTTGACTTTTAGTTTATGAATTTTTTTTGAGTTAAATATGTTCCTTGTATGCAGTGTATGTTATTAGATCTTGTTTCTTGATCCATTCTGCCAATCTGTTTTTTCATGGTTGAATTGAGACCAGTCACATTAATGGTTATAATTGGTATGTGTTGACTTATCCTTATTAAACGAATTTCCTGTTTCTGGTTCCCTTTCTTTTCATTCTGTTTAATTGTCTGTCTTGCCTTATGTATTCTTTTAGAATGTATTGTCTTTATTAACTTTTTTAGAATATACCTTGGCACTTTTTGGAGGGTTTGTTTGGGGTAATGAATTTCCTCAGGTGTTCTCTATCATAGGAGTATCTTATTTCCCTTTAATTTTGAAAAGTAACTTGGCAGCGTTCATCATCCGGTTGGAGATCATTTTCTTTTAGCTTTGAAATACTTTGCCCCAAGCTATCCTTGATTTAAGGGCTTGTGTTGAGAAGTCTGCTGTGATTCTGATAGGTTTCTCTTCGTAGGTGAATTTGTTTCATTTCTTGCGAAGTTTTTAATCTTCTGTTCTTGTATTGAATTTCTGGAGTGTTGACTACTATGTGCGTTGGTGTAGTTTGTTTCTTATCATGGCTAATTGGGATTCTATATACCTTGCTTATCTGTATATCAAATTCTTTCTACATACTTGGGAAGTTTTCTGCTATGACTTATGTGAACAGGTTTTTTTTCTAACCCTTGTTCTGAGTTCTGCTTTTGATGTGATTCTTCTTTACAACATCTCACAGCTGTTGGGTTGATTTTCATAGTCCCTTGATTTTTTTTTTTTTTTGGAACGGGGGTTGAACTCAGACCCTTGCGCTTGCCAGGCAAGCACTTATTCTACTGAGCCATCTCCCCAGCCCCAGTCCCTTGATATTTTTAAGAAGTATTTCATTTGATGATCACTAACTGCAAACTTGTCTTCTAGATCTGATATTCTGTCATTTTAGTTGATTCTGTTGTGTATACTTTCAATTTAAATTTTAATTTGGTTATGTTTGAATGTATTTTATGGACTCAATGTCCTTTCTATTTTGGGCATTCATGTTTTCCATCATTTCCCTAAGATCCTCTACTTTTTTTTTTTAATGTTTCTACTCTAGATTTACTAACATGTTCTTCATTGTGATCATCATCTCTTCAGTTATCTGTGTAATCATTTCTAATTTTTTTTCCAGAGTTTCATTAATCTACTTTGTTACTGCTGCTGGTTTCAGTTCAGAAAGTTCAGCTGGGTGGCTTCTGATTTCTTTCTCCTTAATCCTCCCTGGATTTGCTTGGATGAGATCTAGACTTGGTGTTGCATTGTGCTTCACTGGTTTCTCATTTTGTATTTGTAAATTTTTTTTTTCTGCATTGATGCTTGTAAATTGCTTATAGTAGAGAGCTGTATTACTAGTATCAAGATTTCTTTAGAAAATGACTATTTGGAGCTGGAGAGATGGCTCAGTGGTCTAAAGCACCTACTTGGAACAAGCTTGGCAAAGCACAGGGATCGCGGTTCGATCCTCCAGCACCACATGCTGGACAGCCCGCCCCCTGGTGGGCTGAGCTGCCCCCCCACCTAAATAAATGTTAAAAAAAAAAAGCTGTAAAAAAAACAAAAACAAAAACAAAAAAAAAGAAAATGACTATTTTTTAAAGGTATCTTCTAGGTGTAGTTGTTTTTTGGCTTTTGAGTCTGTCCTGATGTTCTTCCTCTGAATTTATTAGACTTAAGAGGTTGCTACTTGTTTTACCGAGCACCCTGTTCTCTGGTACTGGACTGTTATTGTTTATGGCCACCAGGCAATGCTGATATTGTCATACAAGAAAGAACAACTGATCATAGCAACCATATCACCTTGGCTAAAGTAGCACAATTCACAATAACAATAGCATGAAGCAAAATCTAGAAAATGACAAACTGGTAACTGTTAATTTCCCACCTTTAACCTTAGATGCAAGATTTATAGTTATATGAAAAATCTAAAATAAATATTTTATTTTAGCTTGAGGAAAAGCATTTCAAGCCTAAAAGAAAACAATTTCCAACCCATATAATGAACCCTGCCAAATTATTTTTCAAAATTAACAGGGAAATAAGATACTCCTATGATAGAGAATGCCTGCAGGAAGTTATATATAGTAATTATCCCCTCAGTAGAGTGATTTTACCATACAGGAAGAAAATTAAAAGTAGTAAGTGGAAAAAATAGCAAATAAAAGAGAAAGAGATCAGAAGAAAGGGTGAAAAACAAGGGAAGATTATCCATGCTTGAGGAAACTGGTGAAGAAGAGAGGAGAGAAAGAAGGAAGGAAAACCCAAGAACAAAACAAAACAAACTAAAAACAGTATTCATAGCTGTAAACAAACAAAAACAAATAATTTTTAAAAAAGGAAAGGAAAAAGAGAGATTCTGCTGTGATTTCCATTCTGTGGAAATCTCCTGTGTCTATAGTTTTGTGGTAGTGTGTGATTCAGGGTCTGTCCCTGCTGTCACTGGTACACAAAGGAAGCACACAGAGCCCAGATCCATGCTTGATGATCCTTTTGCCTATAGTAGGATTAACACGAGGTGCCTCTTTTGGAACTTTTAGCTCCACAGAAGTTCAGGCTGATCCTGGTCTCTGGTTATGGGCTTGGGGCCTGAGTTATTTGGCTTACAATACTTTGGGTGTTGATTGCTGGCCTGACCTTGGCTTCCTGACACTGAACATCTGCGTTGTTCCTCATGCAGTCAGGGTGGGATTTCAACACTAGGATCTCTGACTGAAAGTTAACCCTGGTTGTTCCAAGTTGGTTCCTCCCTAAAATGGGATCAACGAAGCATCCTCTCCAAGGGATATGGTAGTCGGGTGGACTGGAGTCACTCACCGGCTGTTGTAGTACACAGCATCCACTGCTCCATTCCCCTGGTGCATTTCTCCCTGGAGGCCTCTGCAGTCATCTGGCCTCACTCTGTCTCTGTAGATTTGATTCTGCTCTCTCACGCTGTGAGCCATGAGCTGGGGAGGAATTTCAGTTTGCTCCTTACTTTTTCTACATTGTGGGCTATCTCTTCCTTTTCTCTATGAGCTCCAATTTTCCCTTCAGATCCTTTATTGGTCCTGGGGATCCACTTCCCTCATTCTTTTCTTTCCTATATTGTTGTTTTCCAGTGTCTGGATTTTTTAATCATCAAGAGTTTGATTTGTTGTTGTTTACTATGTTGGTATCTTCCTGGAAGCTCTCAATACTCTGTTATTATTCTGGGAATCAAATATTAAACATATGGGGGCTGGGGAGATGGCTCAGTAAAATAAGTGCTTCCCTGGCAAGCGCAAGGGCCTGATTCAATCCCTGGTTCTGCCAAAAAAAATAAAAATAAATAAATTAAACATGTGAGCTGCTATTGTCTGTAATCCTAAACATGAAACTATTTTGCCAAATGTTGAATAATGTATAATTAAAGCCAAATACGTTTATAGCAGCAGTGAATGTTCTTTAGTTTTCATGCTCTGGACACTTAGTATTTAGAAAAGTATATGAAAAACAAGAAATAATTGGTAGCATACATTAATCAAGGACTTTGTTGTAGTTTGTGTCTAGGTGTCCCCCTGAAGCCTCATGCAGTCTTGGGGAGGCTTCTGGAGTTTGTGACTGATTATTGTGGGTGTGGATGCTGCACCTGCCCTGGGGCAGGTAATCTGCATTACAATGTAAGGAGGGAAGAGAAGCTAGCTGCTTGAGCTGCTGCTACTCCTCCATTTTGCTCTCTTACTCTTTGCCTCAGCCATGAAAGCTTGTTCTCTACTATATGCCACTCTGCTTTGGAGCCAGCTGAGTATGGACTGAAACCTCCAGTAACTGTGAGGTAAAAAAACTCTTACCTTCCTTCATTTTGAGTATAGGGTATTTGTCCCAGCAATGAAAGAAGAGTGACTGACACAGACTTTAAAGATTAAAAATTCTAAATAATAATTGATTTATATTTTAAAATACATTGACGTTCTACATATGCTCATGCTTAAATTTCTTTTTTCTTTTTTTAATGTATTTGGTTGTTGCAGGGTCGCACTATGTAGCTCAGACTCATGTTGATCCTCCTGCTTTCAGCCTCCCCAGCCCCGGGATTACAGGTGTGCACCACCACCCCCAGATTCTGGCCAGCTCAGCCCACCCTGGGGATGGGGCTGGCATGCCATGTGGTGCTGGGGATTGAACCCTGGTGCTTGTGCTTGCCTAAACTTGCCTAAGCAGGCACTTTAGTCCACTGAGCTATCTTGCCAGCCCTCAAATTTATTTCCAATGTTTATTACTTCCACTTTGATGATCTGGTTTGCTTGCACAAGTCCCTCTAGCAAAATGCCAATAAGGAAAACTATTGATTTTCAGCTGGCTTTGCCCTCAGTGATACATTATTGCTCCTTCGCTAATTATAATAAGTAACTTTCATTTATCTTTTATCACCTAACTGGCTTTCTGAGCTTAGTACCTATGAATCTACTGTGTAGTTTAAACATTACTGTATCTGAAGATAAATGCTGTCCACATAATTGAAAATCATGGCTGCCAAAGAAATTGCCACCAAGACTGGTGGACAGCTGTGTTTACTTTGGTGCTGAATATTGCCTTTAATTTAGTGGTGGCTAAACAAGGCTCAAAATGCTTAGCATATGCTTTTGTGTAGGCAGAGTTCAATGGCTGACATAAGAAGGCAACAGTCACCATTACATCTTTTTTTATTTCAATTTTTTAGCACACTGCAAATTGAAAATAAATTACTTACAAACATAAATGAATATAGCAATAAAAATTGTCCAAAATAAAAATGAAAGAATTTACAGATCAGTCATAATAGTTCAC